TTCAATTCTTTAATCAGATCTCAACCACCTCAAGATCAAATCTAGTCCATCCAGTAAAAGAGGGTTTGAGAAACTTAGAACAGAAACGATTACGACACCTACAATTCAAACTATGTGAAAGACTTATTTTTCTCATAACTTGCACGATTTTAACTATGATTTGATTAAAAGAATACGATTGTGCTTGTAATTCTAAGCTTTACAACCATGACACTTAATTCTAAAATTAATTTGTAGGTTAAAATACTCTTTTGGTCTCTGTACTTTCAGCTTTTGTTCATTTTGATCCCCTACTTTTAAAATGTCTATTTTGGTCTCTTATTTTTAACTTTGGTTCATTTTGGTTTATGTACTTTCCAAGTGGTCGTTTTGGTCTTTGTAATTGTAAAAAGTGACAATTTTACTCCCTATTTGCAAAAATTTAACACGAATTCTATATACAACGGAAACTCTTTAATATAAAATTATCAAGAAATATATTGAGTGTAGTTTCGTGTTGAAATTGTGACCGAAAGAATAAACTGAATAGACCAAAACGATCATTTTTTAAAAGTATAGAAACCAAAATGAATGTTTCGAAAGTCCAGGGACTAAAATAGGCAAAAGTAGTTAAACGTACAGGGTTTCAAAATGAACATTTTGAAAGGATATGGGCAAAATGAACAAAAGCGGAAAGTAGAGGGACCAAAATATATTTTGACCTAATTTGTCCTTAGTGTATTTATTATCATTAAAACACTAACTATGGCTGTTTTAACTCAGATAAGTACTGAAAAGATAGCACAGTTTGCAATAATTTATTCTGATGTATCATTACATGATTCCTTAAACTTGAGCACTGAATGTAGAATATCAGATTTCATTACTTTGTACTATAGGGGAGAGGTAAGTTTTATATGATCCTCTTTATTACTTGTGGAAGTCAACAAGTTTAACTAATTATGTGGTATGCTGTTGGATTGAGACATTATTAGATGAGTTAAATAAACTGATTCATCTGCTGCGGTATACTTTAAGATCAATAATTATTACCTTTATCGTCAATGCTCGCATTATCATCTATGTATAAAGTGGGTTTATAAAACCCTGTTAGGCTTTGATGCCAGTTTTTCCAATGAGAATTTATAATGCAGGTTAATAGATCCAATCTTAGAAACTGAAATTTTAGTATTGAATATCGATCTAATGCTTGTTGCTCTTTAGTATTAATCGTGGTTATCACTGATCGATCCAATAGAGAATTTCATCGATAATAAGTTGAGCATCAAAATTTGTGTTTTGCACTTTATAGGTTCTAGGTGGAATATACGCTGGAAATGAATCAGGTGTCACCGCACAACATTTAGAATGGGTATGCGATCTCTGTTCTCGAAATCTAATTTCATTTTACCCATACTTGCAGCCATGACCATCGAAAAATCGCATTTTCTTTTCACCTTTTTCTAGCCATATTTGATAAGGAAACCATGTTCTAGTTTCAAAATAGTCTCATCGAGCTTTCACAAGCACCGGTTGTATTTAGAAGATCTCTTCACTAAGTACCAAATTTTGTTGCCCTTTATTTTTAATCCAAAATACAGGTACATCAGAAGACACTTCACATTCTTGAGGAAATAGCATTCTAGTCTTTTTGTGCTTTCATCCAGGTATGTTTTGTCACACTTCAGATGTTAATATAAAGTTATAATATAAACTTTTTCCTGACCCACCCTTGGATATCTGTAAAATCCAAGACGAGTTTACATATACATTTCGAAAGATGATTTTGTAACATTCACGAACAAGTATTAATGATTAAACCCATTTTGAACCCACTAATCTAGGATGTCAAATATGACACGAGTTTCGAAACCGAGTCCTATAGCTCTAGGCAGTAATCGCCATGTTTGTATAGTAGGAACTCTATATATAGATTGAAGTACAAGGTGTGGGGGAAGAAGTTTGACTCTTCCTGTAAGCTTTTTACGTGCAATAAGGTCGGATTCGCTGACCATCTAAAACAATCCAGAAGAATATCCATCTCACATTCTCCAACCTTAGATTGGCTCGTGAGTTGGTTGCTGACTGTGGCCCCACCCTGCTCTTACTTTACTCAGGTTCTCTTGTAACAGTCTTCATATCGCGCACTCATTTCGTACTCCTTTTAGATTAAATGAATTGAATGGGGCCTCTCAAAAGTGAAGATTCTGATATGAGTGACAAGAAATCCTATGAAAAAACATAAAAATCCTCGAAAAATGTTGGATTTATCAATATTTGTGTAAATATTAGGTGTCAATATTAATTGTCAATATTTAGTCTTTATTGTTGATATTCAGTCTTTATGGTGTTTATTACTTTCCTTGTTTGTAGTAGGTCATTCTCCTATATAAGAAGACCTAAGTTACATGTTTGAATCAAGGAGTATATTTTTTACTCTCTCAAATTAACATGGTATCAGAGCTTAGGAAGTAAACCCTAACTCTCAAAACCCTAGCCATCATTAAAAATACCAAACCCTAATTTTAAAACCCTAGTTGTCAATCAAAATCCTAGCCGGCATCCATTCCTCCTTCCGGTAAGTCTACCTCCGACGAACTCCCCACAGCAACGCAGCTGTTGCCGTCGATCCGTCGTCCTCACCGTCGATCTGCACCGGTGATATCCGCACAGATCCGCCGCTACTCCCATCCGCGACGCAACCTGTCGTTCGCCGGTCTCCGTCATCCGCACAGATCCACCGCGGCGTGACCCCTCATCAATCGACCTCCGCGTTCCTTCGTTTGGTATTCGTGATCGCCCATCTCTGCCTGTCGCACATCCTCGCCGTCTTCGATCCGCCAGCACTCTTGTCGGTCACCATCTTCTGCTCACAGTCGACCTCTTCTGCTCGCAGATCTCACCGCCGCCTCTGTAATGACCATCAATCCTGTCCGTCGGAGATTTTCTAAGTATTGTTCAGGGCTTTGGTTCAAATCGGTTTGGGTTGGTTCATCTGCCGTAACTTATTCTGACTTGGTTCAACTCTCCTGGTTATGGTTATCTCATTTCTAATATCAATTTGTGGCCTGATTTGATTTGGTTAATTACTATCTGGTGGTGTGATTTTGTTGTCAGTTTTTGTTCAGGCAAAGTTGTTCAGGACAAGTTGTTTATTTAAAATGGYCCAAATCTCAACTGAYAATGGTAGAGAAATGTTTGGTGATARTCGTGGTGACTCAAGTATAGAGCAAATTCATCAAATCCTRAAATTGCTATCCTCCAATTTACCTTCTAATAACTCATGTGTATCCCTGACACAAACAGGTATTTATTCTAAGGYTTTCTCGTGTARTAACTCATCTCCATGGATTATAGATTCTGGAGCTTCTGATCATATGACAAGTTCTTCTAATCTCTTTGAATCATACCTTCCTTCATATTCCAATGAAAAAGTTAGAATTGCAGATGATAGTTTTTCTTCTGTTGCAGGCAAATGAACCATTAAATTGACTGAGACAATTTCGTTACAGTCTGTCCTTCATGTTCCACAATTATCATGTAATCTTTTATCTGTCAACCAACTTTCTAAAGATTCTAACTGTCGTGTTACTTTCTTTGAATCCCATTGTATTTTTCAGGATCAGAACTCGGAGATGATAATTGGCCGCGGTAGGATGATTGATGGTCTCTACTACTTTTATGAAGGTACCTTTAGTAATAAAATAACTCAGGGTCTTAGTAGTATTAGTTCTCTTTCTGTTAGGGAACAAATTATGCTTTGGCATCGTAGACTAGGACATCCCAGTTTYTTCTATTTAAAATATCTGTTTCCAAAGTTATTTAAGGGAATTGATTGTTCATCTTTTAATTGTGAAAGTTGTTTTTTAGCAAAAAATCATCGCTCCACATATTWTCCAAAACCTTATAAAGCTTCCAAACCATTTTACTTAATTCACAATAATGTTTGGGGTCCTTTTAAAATCAGTACTCATAGTGGAAGAAGATGGTTTATTACTTTCATTGACGATCATACTCGCCTGTCTTGGGTTTATTTTATGTCAAAAAAATCTGAGGTGAAAGACATTTTCAAAAACTTTTATGAGATGATTGAAACTCAATTTCAAACAAAAATTTATATTTTACATTCTGATAATGGAACTGAGTATTTTAATGAGTTTTTGGGAAATTTTTTGAAAGAAAAGGTATGGTTCATCAGTCTACTTGTCGGGATACTCCTCAACAAAATGGGATTGCTGAAAGAAAAAATAGGCATTTACTTGAAGTAGCACGTGCTATAATGTTTTCTATGCATGTTCCAAAATATTTATGGGGGGAAGCGATTCTCACAGCGACCTACYTAATAAATAGGATGCCTACTAAAGTTTTAAATTTCARAACTCCCATTGAGTCATTTAAAAATATTTTTCCAACATCYCGCATATATTCTGATCTACYTCTCAAAGTTTTTRGGTGTACTACTTACGTTCACACACCTAGTCATTTCAGGTCGAAACTTGACCCTTGCGCTATTAAATGTGTTTTCTTAGGCTATGTTTCAGGTCAAAAAGGTTACAAATGTTTTGATCCTCAGACAAAAAATTTTTTTGTGAGTATGGATGTGTCTTTCTTAGAAAATCAACCATATTTTACCCAAAATTCTCTTCAGGGGGAGAAAATGAATTTGGAAGATAATTTTTGGGATATTTCTGTTCCCCTTCCTAGTCCTACCTGTTTGGATTTTGCTAGTCCTTCGATGCCAAGCATAGAAACTGTCCAATCAGGGGGAGAAATACTACAAAACGATTTTGCGAATCCTAGTTCTAAGTTAAAGTTTTATACTAGAAGGAAATTCAATCAGAGGAACCAAGATCAAATAGTTATTCCTTCACAAAGCCAATCTGAAACTCCGAGAAATGAAACTGAACTGTCTGATAATCCTCCCTCTTCAACATTGTCTGGTAATCCCTCTTCTTCAAATTTTCAAAATAATTCACCTGTTGTCTCTGACCTTGATGTTCCCATAGCCATTAGAAAAGGTGTTCGAAGTTGTACCAAATATCCTAGTTCGAACTATATTTCATATGAAAAACTATCAAATAGTCATAAGGCCTTCACATCTAGGATAACTAATTTGTTTGTTCCAAGGAATATACATGAAGCTTTAGAAGATCCAAATTGRAAACTAGCTRTCATRGAGGAGATGAATGCTCTAAAGCAAAAWAGTACTTGKGAGATAGTAGAATTGCCAAAGGATAAGAAACCAGTGGGATGTAAATGGGTGTTTACCGTAAAATGTAATGCAGATGGTAGCATCGAGAGATACAAGGCTAGATTGGTAGCTAAAGGCTTCACACAAACCTACGAGATAGATTATCAGGAAACGTTTGCTCCTGTTGCAAAAATTAACTCTATTAGAGTTCTTTTGTCTCTTG